TTTTCCTTTTTTTTTTTTTTTTTTTTCTTTTCTCCAAATTCAGTGAGATCATCTCGCCTGGAGGCTGCAATGTGACAGAAATAGTAAATAGCCGTGTCGCTCGGGGAGGCTTCCTCAGCTAAACTCCGTAGTCGTCTTGCTTGCAGTCAGGTGGTAGTCTTTCAGAAAATGGGTACCTAATTGCGTTGGAGGTAGTAATTCATGGAAAGAAGCCTAAAAGCATAAGGTATATATTGCTTAGGTAAAAATGAGTGTAAATATTCAAGAATGGGCCAGAGTAACTATGAATTAAGAACTAAAGGATTTAGTCTTAGGTTGAAAATTCTAGAAAATGTAAACGATTGGCATGTGGCCCCTGTTTCTTTGCAAAGGAAGAGTAACCCTGAGTCATAACTGGATTTCAGTTTCAGTCTTTTACATCTTAGTAGTTAATACCTGTTAACTTTTCTAATACTCTGAAATATTTTATGTGCCAAAGTACTTCATTTTGATGCAGTTAGTGCCCTTCAACTTTTACTACTCTGAAATATTTTAAGTGCCAAAGTACTTAGTTTTCATGGCATTTGATAAATAAGAATAGTAGTTGTGATCCCTGCAGTTAAACAGATGGGACAACTGAACACTTCACACTTCTTACTGTTTCTAAGTGACTCATTTAAAGAGTGTGACTAATCATCCTACCATACAGTTGTCAACAAAACAGTAATTTTCTTCTACCACCCACAAAATCCAAAGAGATTTTCAGTGGATGAGAAATGAGAAGCAAAGAAAAGTACGTATCTTTTAAACAACAGTTAAGATTTAAATTGAGTGGGACTACATGTGATGGACTGTTCATCTTAAGAATTTATATGTCGTTTTGTCTGTGCAACAATATAGTGGTATACCCAGAAAGTCAGTTAACTTAGTATGATCATTGTTGGGCAAACAGTAACATGTTAGTTGTTTCATCCAAATAACAACCTTACATGAAACTAAATGAATTTTATCTGTCCTCTTTTCCCCTCCCTGCTTTACCTGTATCAAGTTGTGAGTCGTCTAGGACAGAGGCACTTTAATATTCAGTGCAGTATGGATTGGGCATTTTCCTGATAATAGTCAAGTGACAAGTGTCATCAGGGTAATAATAGTGCTGACTGTGGTTTTGGGGGGGTGGGTGGGAATTGCATTTGTTTTGAGGAAACAAGGGTAGTAAGACAAAGAGCTGGCTGAGAAATTTGCTTTTAGAAATGTCATATGAGAAGAGACCTGGTTTGAACATAGCCCTTGTGGGAAATGGAAGTCAGGAGTTACCTACGGCTTGTAGGGCTGAGCCAAGAAGGTGACAGTAAATTTAACCCCCCCACAAATACGATGGGAATAGGAAATGTCTTGAAGGAGAGATACTCAGATTTGATTTCTTTTAAGTTAAGTGAGTTAAAGAGTTGTGAGGGAAGTATTCAATACATTGAAGTGCAGTGTTGGACACAGGAGGCAGATGAGTGGAAAGATTGATTGGGAAGAAGTGTTTAGAAGTGTGGTTACCTACAGAGGTGGGGAGAGAGGTAGCATATGGGGTGGAAAAGGAGGAGGCCAAGGATGCATCAGAATGGATCCCACAAAGAACATAAGAAAGGTATATCAAATGTATGCCAGCTTCTGCTGTTGGCAAATACATTTTCTGCTTCTTCGTACCTGTTGGCAGCATTGATAAAGATTTGCTCTTTATTGACTGTATCTCTAATAGTTAGTTGGTTTGGTCTGTTTGTTGTCTCATCACGTTTTTTGTGAAGACTAATTACTGATGGAGAGTGCACTGAGAATGCTGCTCTGTGTTTTCCCCATAAGTCATACTTGAAGTGACTTCGATATGTTGGTGAATTGACAAATAAATAAAAAAAAAGAAAAAGTACTTAACCAATAAGTTCCTCTCTGCATGCAAGCAGAATGGTACCATATGGTTGGGTGTTTTGGTCTGGTGCTCTCCTCCTTAGGGAAGTGATCTCTTGTCAGGTGTCTGCCTCAGCAGGTATTACAGATGGCTTCTGTTAAACAGGAAGCCCCGTTAAAAGGATGACACTTTCTCTTCTTTCAAATTGAATGTTGAAGAACAGGTTTTCTTTAGAAAAATGAAAAGTTGGGGAGGGGTCTGAGAGCTGATTGGCCCAGGATTGAATCCTGACCCGAGGGAGGTGGTAATGGCACAGAAATCAACAGAGATCATGCCTCTGACACCAGAAGGTTATTTGTGCCTTCTCATAGCGCAGTCCCACTGGTTCAATATTTGGAAAGCGATGAAGAACTGTGAGTAAAGTATAGCCCTTTCTTTTTTATACCACTTTTCTGGAGATGGATGTCCCTTTGTTAGCTCATCCTTGGACTAAAGAGTGCAAGGAAAATGTACAAGAAACATAGGAGTGTCAAAAGAGTCAGTTCCACCGAAAACGAATCTGTAGGCTTTGTGCTATGTGAGGCGTAGTACCAACGGATACTAACGTAGTCTTACCTCGTTATCAGTAAATGTTTCAAGTGGAAGATAGTCTTCTCTAAAGCAGTAGCTGTGGTTGTCAGGAGTCTACACTGAGTAATTACAGTCCAGTAATTGGAGAACAATGTTTTCAATTACTTTGTAGCCTTTCAAATACTCTATGCTGCTGTAGTATTTGACTTTTGAGAAGGGAAATAGATTTTATATTATTCCTATAACTTCCTAGAATATCCTTATTTAGTTAGAAGAAAAAAATTTTTAAAATCTGTCATTGCTTTTTTTTATTTTAAAGTTGCTGTACCAACTGTATGTCCTTTCAGTGAGCAGAGGAGACTTCTAGCTATTTTTCAGCAAGCTAGAAGCAAAATACTTGCATAATAAACTACACTGTTGACTGGGCAAATAACATGGAGCTTGGTTCGCCTTAATCATCTTTAGCTATTAATAAACTAATTTAATTGAAAATGCTGGGAACTTTTAACTGTAAATGAGGTAAACTCTTACCGTAATTACTGTGCAGCCTAACCTTCTGGTTTTGTGTCGGGCAGCCTGGCATTCTCATTATGGATCGCTCTCGGCACCGTGCGGGAAATGGCAATGAGCAGGCATCTTCACGAGAGCGCAGCCACGGTGAAGATGAGAGACAACGACAGCTGGAGCGCCTCAGTAGGGAGGAGGCCTATTACCAGTTCATTAATGAACTCAATGAAGAAGACTACAGGTTAATGAGAGACCGCAACCTGCTTGGCACTCCTGGTAAGAGGGGGACACCATCAGTAGAACAGATGTCATGTGATGTAACGCTGCTGCTGTTGGGCACCGCATGTGGGTGTACGACTCCAGTGGCCTGACTTTGTGGCTTTGTAGAAAGGAAAAAACCTCCGTTTCCATTCAAAATTAATTATATTCAGTAGAAATTAATAACTTAAATAGATACTAAAGCTGGAATAAGAATATAACTCTTTCAAATGCAACATCTCCGTATATAGGTGATATCCAAGCCCAAATAATTAACATCTGGTACACTAAAGTATATTTGTTGGTATGTGGCATTTTAGGGGTCTCTGAGTTGTTACTGGAAGTTGGCGTGCTCTTGACACACATTCAGTGTCTTTTCTTCTTCAGTCCTAGTACCTATTTCCTCTGTTATCTGTGTACCTGCATGCCAGTCTCACACTAGTGCTGCTTTCTTTTTGGTTTCATTAATTTTACCTTATTTCTGGAGATTTTCATTCAAGATAGAAAATACTGTTATTTCTGCATGGCTGAATATTGAGCCAATAATAATGTCTTATCCAACGGTATTATTAAAATGTAAATTGTTTCAGGGGAAATAACAGCAGAAGAGTTGCAGCAACGCTTGGAGGGGGCTAAGGAACGTCTGGCATTGCAGACTGATCTGGATAACAGAGAAGGTGAAGGTAGAACTGTTGGAGGTAAACATTCTTCATTCATATATCTAGATACGCATAGTACGTGATGCATATATATTGCTCTGTGCAGACATTTAAGAGAAATGCTGACAGATTTTGGTACCAGTCATTTCAAGTCTTGTTTTTTCATTGTGCCTCTGTGGATTGTTTTAAAAGTAAGAGAGTTTTCCTGATGATATGAGAACAAACTTGAAATACTTCATAAAACCTGATTTTATCAACCACAAATGACTTTCTCCTCTTTTCCTGGTTTCTCTTTGCTAGTAAACGTAATAGCACAAAAATAGTTTTCATCTTTGAATTCTTAAAAGGTTTTATCATGTATTAGAGAAGTTGGAACAGAAAAGAAGTTAATTGGGAAACAGTTAATCTCTCTACTGTTTTGTTGGTTTTGTTGTTTCATTTCAGTTTGTTTTAATGGAGTGAGGCTTGTAGTATGTGCACTGTCTGCCTTCACTTCCCCAGCAATATTGGCTTGATCATTTGGGCAATTCTAGTCAGAATTAGGAGAGGAATAGGCAACTTAAAAATGAAGATAGCAAAGTTCTTGCAGGTTTCATGCAAACAGGGAGATGATGAAGCAGGGAGGGCTTAGTCTGATCCCTTTGAGGGAAAACCTTCACTGTGATCATGACTATTGCCTTTCTTTACACACATAGGTAGCACTAACCACAACAGTTGTGTCTGTTCTTGAACCTGTACTAGGAGGAGATTTGGGAACGGAGCTGTGGATATTGTAGTAGGAAGAGAGTGTATTTGCACAAAAGGAGCAAATCTGTTGAAACTTTGCATCGTATATTCCACTGCTTGTAGAAAACAATTTTTTTAAAATGTTTTCCAAAACCAGACAAAATCTGTCATACTTTTCCTTGCTTTATCAAAATCAGTTGACTAAGGTACCCTTAAACAGCTAGCTTAAGTGGGGGACAGATACCGGACAAATACAACTAACTTTGGACTGCCTAAATCTGAACGCTTTTCTCAGAAGAGGCCGTCTGGGCATATTCGTTTCTCTGTATCGACTGGTGAGACAAAAATTGTAGGTTGAACTGATGAGTTTTGCTGGCATTTTTACATACAGCGTATCTTTAGCAAAATTACGTTAGCACAGCAAGGCAGCTGTCCTGCTTCTGTATCGTTTCTGAAGTCAGGGTCCAGCCAGCAGAGGATTTGCTGTGCACTGTAGTCTGCTGAGCATGCAGTTGTGTGAATGTTTGCAATTCTTTGTTCCTCTCAGATTCTGATGTTCTTGGAGAAAACTCAAATGGTGACTCTTTGCTTGAATGGCTGAACACATTTCGTCGCACAGGAAACGCTACTCGCAGTGGACAGAGTGGGAACCAAACCTGGAGAGCTGTGAGCCGAACAAATCCAAACAGTGGGGAGTTTCGATTTAGTCTTGAAATCAACATAAATCACGAGCATAACAGTTTTGAAACTGCTGGGGAGGAGTATGTGGGTATAGATAGCAGCAGAATGTATTTAGAAAGGAGACATCAAAGAGCTGTCAGTCCAGTAACCCCACGAACGAGGAGGAGATCTGCAAGGGAGGCAAACAGCGAGGCTTCGAGCACTGCAAGGACCAGGTCTGTAAGGAGATCAGTGGCACAAAGCTCTGAAGCAGCCTCCTCTCTGATCTCAGGGAGGCTCAGGAGTAGAACAAGGGAGTCAGCAGGCCTTTCCCAAACAATTACTGCACGTAATAATTCTGCAGCTACTGGTGAACAAAGAGAAATGCCAGAAAGAGGTACATCTACAGGAGTCCCAAGAGGTAGAGGTAGAACTAATGTTCGGATGAGTACAAACCAAAGACTAGAAATTCTGCGGCTGAGGTCTACTGTAAGTAGTCGAAGCCGCTCTCCACTGCAAAGGCAAGGTGATCCTGCTCGCTCTGAGGAACGTGGGAGGAGGCAGGATAGAAATGCACAGCAAGTCAACAGAAGAAGACGACAAACAGCTCAGCCTTCTCTGCGGCCTGCTGAAGAACAAGCAAGAGGTAACACTCAGACTCCTCAACTTTCCAGTATAGCCCCATCCTTGGGAATAACTTTGGAAGAGGAGGAAGCTAGTAGGCCAGTAGCTGCTGTTAGAAGGCATCCAACAATTACATTAGACCTTCAGGTGAGAAGAATTCGTCCTGGAGAAAACAGAGATAGGGACAGCATTGCCAGCAGAACTCGTTCTAGAGTAGGAATGGCAGAAAACACAGTTACCTTTGAAAGTGACAGCGGGGGATTTCGGCGTACGATATCACGGTCAGAACGTGCGGGTATTCGAACCTACGTTAGCACTATACGGATACCTCTTCGCCGGATTTCAGAAACTGGGCTTGGTGAACCTTCATCAGTGGCTCTTCGATCAATCCTTAGACAAATTATGACAGGCTTTGGAGAACTGAGTTCTTTAATGGAAACTGAATCTAACTCAGAAGTGCAAAGGGGTGGTCATCTCTTACCAAGTGTACAGTCAGAGCAGAATAGCTCAAGTTCAGCAGACAGCAGCAGTGATCCAAGTGAGGTTTCACCGAGAAGCGGGCACGCAGCAGAAGGCAGCAGGGAAACAAGTGGACAGAGTGATGATACTCAAAACTACAGTCGCAATAATGAAACCCAAGATCACAGGCAGTCTCAAGATGCGAACAACCTAGTGGAAAATGGAACACTGCCCATACTTCAACTTGCTCACTTCTTCTTGCTGAACGAAGATGACGACGATGATCGTTTAAGAGGTTTAACCAAAGAGCAGATTGACAATCTTTCTACCCGGAGCTATGGGGATATTCACACTGAAAATGAAATAAGTAAAACGTGTACTGTTTGCATTAATGAATATGTAACAGGGAATAAGCTAAGGCAGTTACCTTGTATGCATGAGTTTCACATTCATTGTATTGATCGCTGGCTTTCTGAAAACTCCACTTGCCCAATTTGTCGGCAGCCTGTTTTGGGGTCTAATGCCACAGACAATGGCTAGATTTACTTAAACTGCTCAGTACTCAAGGATTTGCTTCTGCTCTATTTATGATGAGCCAGATGGAATGAATTGACTTACATAGGGGTCCGTTTGCGTGGGGAGTTTTGTTAAATTTCTTTTAAAATATTAGGAAACTTGTCTAAGTCTAGCAATGTAAATACTATTTTTCTCCAAGTGCAGATCTAGGAGTACACATAGAACCAAACAATATCGGTAAAGTTTATATTTTTTTAGGTAATTTTGTTATGCTAAGCACTTTTGTAAATACAGAAATGCAATAGTTAATCAGTCCTGCTTTAATGTATGTTTTTTTAACAATGTAATGGACTCACTTTATTTAGATTACAAATTGTTTCGCACAGACCCACCACTGTGTTGGAAAATTAGTGTCTAAATAGCCATTCATTAGCTTTTTGTTCTAAGAACAATTTCTTTTACAGAGAGTTTCTTGCTGGACATGTTTGCTAAAGATATTTAAGTTACTTGAAGTGCTCATTTTAATAGACTATATTTTTTTTAACATTGAAATATCCTTTCCAAAAACTTGCCAATTTGGTTCTATCTAAAAAAATTTATGGCAATTTTTGCATGTGGTTTTACACAATGCTTAATGCTGATGAGTTCATATTCAAAAGTGGATGGGTTAGTGACATTATAAGATTATATACATAACTAAATGCTGTCTTTGACAATCTCTGTCTTTTCAATGCAGACAGCAATCAAATGGATGATAATTTCAAGAGGACATGTCTTACTGAACATGGTATTTGCGCAAAGAATAAATGAGCACTGAGGAAGCCTTTTTACTCTTCCAAATTACTCAGTTGATATTCATGGGATTTTAACTGCCTTAGTTTAAAGAGGGAAGTATTTCCTTGACCATTACATTGTCTACAATATGCATGATTTGTGCGTCCTACTCAGAAAAGCAAAGCAAAGGCTTGAAGTGTTTTTGTACAGAAATTTAAGGTACACATATAATATTAGTCCTCTTAAAACAAGTCTGAGGACCAAATGGCAAAAGACACTAAAAAGGACAAAAGAAGCTTCCCTTGATGTCCCCAGGTTACTGTATAATTAGATATTAAACTTTATACGAATAACTTATAAAGAAATAAAGTTGCAAAGTAAATAATTGAGGCTTTGTGTGAATTACTATTGAGCCATATTCTGTAGATTGGTAAGAAGATTTCTCATTCTTGATGTCCAGTCTTGGTTTTCACTTTATTCTTTCCTCGGTTTTCCCCAGCTGTGTACTTGTGTTTCCACAAGTGTGTTTAGCTTTATGGTAGATAAAAATGCAAGGCAAAGCACTCTTGAAGCTCCTGGAAGTAAGGTGAACATTACAAAGCTAGTTTTCTGAGCAGTGTGCATCTCGCTTCTTAGAAAAAGGAGAGTTGTGCAATGCTCTTATGTCTGTATCTTCTGAGCAATAGAAAGAATACTTCAAGTGAAGAAGTCCTACTGACTTTCTCTGCATACAGATGGCCTTGACAAATGCACTTCTGTGCCAGGTGCTTCAGTTAAAACAGCTGCTTGTGACATCTGTGAAGGGAAACTGTAAAATCCCGTGTCAGCTACTGGATGTCTCCTTCAGTTTTGCAAGTGAAAAACTTGTGTCAGAAGTTCCACTGCTTCTTCTTGTTCCTAAAAGTAGTTCTCTTATGAGATTTAGATGAGTTTAAGGATATGATTAAGATCTCTTCTGAGGTGGTTTGGATTGCTAATTATTGAAAACATTGTTGCACCTTCCTTGAGTGCCTCCTTAGCCATATTACAGAGTGAGGAGATGTGAATGTGGTTATCAGAGCTAGCTTATTTTTGACGTTATTTTTTTTTTCTGTTACTTCTGTAGCTCCTGATGTTGACAGTGTCTAAATACGTGGTGTCTTCTGCTACTTTCTGGTCTCCTTTATATTTGAAAGCTGTCTGACTCAAGGGCCACATCAGTAGAAACCTGCCTTTGGCTCACCATTGCCTTGCTGGTTGGTCCTTTTAAGGTCAATTTTAACTTAAGTCTGTACTATAGGGGATTTTATTGGGTTTTGTTGTGCTGCATTTTTTGACTAACTAGTTAGAACCCTGCTCAACTGCTACACTAATGCACTAGAGGTACAGGGAGATTCCCTGTGCCTGCCTTCATTCTCATGGGATTTCGCTGTGTAACCTGAAGAGCACCATTTCATATGTGGTTCAAGACAAGATCCTGCATGACAAAGTACTTGCAGCTGAGCTGCTGTGGGGAAATAGCCAAAAGGCCAGTGAGAGCTCTCTGTGGAAATCATAGGCTATTGGCTAGGAAACACAAAGTCTCCCATACAATATTTCTGTCCTGCTGCATGTGAGTTGTCAAGTATTTACCCTCCATTGGAAGGGCACTTAATTTGTCACCCAGCTTTCCTGGCAAATTGTGTTGATGGGACCAATTAGATCTCAGTGGTTTGGTTTGGTATTGGCTTCTGCTACCTGCCTTCCTGTGACATTCCTTCAGTTCTACACACGCACCCCCAAATACTGTTTTACTTTGTCCATGGCTTGGGGGTTTCGTGTTCCAACAGCCTTATCTGTGTTTAAGAGCTTTGTTAATTTATTCTCCATGCATTTCCTAGCATTTCTCAAATGCATCTGTGTTCTGATCTCTGCAGCTGCCCCTTGCAGAGTTACACAGTTTGCCTTATGTGAGAAGTGCTTGTTTGATACTTGCTCTTCATTATCTTACAGTCCCTGGTTATTGTGCCGTAAGAAGCAACGTCACCATAGATAACACCTCTCTGTTCACTTTGCTAGTGACTTAGCCCTTTTTTTTAAAAAAAAAAAAAAAGCCAACAACTGAGGAGTCCTAATTATTCTCTTTCTATATAGAAGCTATTCTTTTCTAACTGTTCTTGCTCCTCTTTTGAAATGGGAGGACTGGTGCTCATGCAGAATTCAAGATGCAGATGCAGTAGGCATTATATGGTGATAAAACAACTTTTTTTCCCCTCTGTTATCTTCCAAGTAATTCCTAACATTCTGCATTTACTTTTGATTGCTGCTCAACGCTGAGCTGATAATCTTAACAAGTTATGGAAAAAGATTTCGCAATCACTTTCCTGAATGTTAATTGCTAATTTAGAATGTCTTATTGCATGCTTTTCTTGTGTATTGTTGTATGCATTTTTTTTTTCCTGGATTATTTTGTATGTTGTGCAAGTCAAATTTTCTCTGCCCTTTTACCATCCTGGGCACCCTGCTTTCTGTGGTTTGTCTTAGCTTTTAATACCCCAATAATTCTGTGCCATTTGCAGATGTTACCACTTAATTCTTTTTTCTGGTCATTTATGAGTATGTCACATAGCACAAGTATTTCAGTAGCAATGCTTTCTAAATCAAGTTTAACCATTTATTTCTAGCTATTTAATTAGTGGAGTTGTGAGAGTTGTTTTTGTTAATAAAATGGGACTAAAGGTAAATATATGAAGAATTTCAGAAAATAAATACAGTAATTGTCTTCAAGCTGACATTTGTTGAGGAGAACTTGAAATCTAAGTAAAGCACTGACAGAATGAAGCTTGTTTGCAGGTTATTAAATTCCTTTAGTTATCCCTGTATTCCATCTGATTTGGTGAGCTAAGAATCATAGAATCATTAGGTTGGAATAGACCTCTAAGATCATCAAGTCCAACCGTCAACCCAACACCACCATGCCCACTAAACTGTGTCCCGAAATGCCACATCTACATGTTTTTTGAACACCTCTAGGGATGGTGACTCCATCACTTCCCTGGGCAGCCTGTTCCAATGCTTGACCACTCTTTCAGTAAAGAAATTTTTCCTAATGTCCAATCTAAACCTCCCCTGGTACAAGTTGAGCTGTTTCCTCTCATCCTGTCACTTGTTACTTGGGAGAAGAGACAGACCCCCACCTCACTACAACCTCCTTTCAGGTAGTTGTAGAGAGCGATCAGGTCTCCCCTCAGCATCCTCCAGGCTAAACAACCCCAGTTCCCTCAGCTGCTCCTCACAAGACCTGTTTTCCAGGCCCCTCACCAGCCTCATTGCTCTTCTCTGGACATGCTTCAGGACCTCAAGGTCTTTCTTGTAGTGAGGGGCCCAAAACTGTACACGGCATTTGAGGTGTGGCCTCGAAGAACACATTTTATCCTTTCTTTTGCTTGTAAGAGGGCTGAGGAGAGGAGTAATACTTGGTTACTCTTGTATTTCATGTAAAGGTGCAATGGCCTTTGCCCATATCCTCCTTCACAGGACAGATTTATAATGTTGCTACAGGCCGTTAAAAGAAAATCTCTGATACGTATATAGCACAATGATGAGACACTTTGTCTACTCAAATTCATCTATAGAATTAGAAAGGCATCAAAGTGTATTTGTGCATCACGTTCACTGTCAAGAGCAGGAGGCAGTTTGTGTTCCCATCTGCTGTCCCCAGAATAACCCGAGGTCAGACACTGAAGTAAGTGCCTACAAGTAACATCGAGCTCACTCGCTTAGCAATTATTAACTTAATTTTCGCATTATCAGTCAATTTATGAGTAAGTTTAAACACTTAACATTTCAAAGTGGCACAGGATAGGTTCGTTTTTAAAGAGCTTTTTTAAACAAATGTATTAAGGGTACACATTGCCTGTATTATTCGAAATCTGGTTTTGAAAATTTCATTTCTTAACATGTTATTGGAGTTTGGAGATTTCAGTATTTGTAGCTGAGTTTTATGTAGTCCTTTTCCACAAAAAGAAATACCAAAGCCTAATGTTCAAATTCTGGAATGCCACAGGTTTGTTCTCTTCTTTTTTCTTCTCCGCATTGTAAATCTCCACAGTTCTCTCTCAGTAAAATGCAAACGATCCAATAATCCACTGTGTTCCTTCCTCTTGAAATTTCAGTGTAATCTACATTTTCTCATGGACATTTTCATTTAATTTAGTTGACTTTCAGCTCCCAGTTAGAACTTTTCCTCCAGTGAAATTCTCAGCTTGTTCTAACAGACCCCATTAAGCACA